GGCCATCGAGGTTCCAGATATTTGCATATACCATTGTTCTTCAAACCGGAAATAGTTGTTTTTTAATACTACCTCTAGTAACTCTAAGGTGTATTCAATAGGAGGATTCATTGAATATATTTTTGTGGCAGTTGGATATGTGTGAGTAGTTCCACCCAGGGCCGGCGCCCCCATAAGGCAGCCACCTCAGGGCGCCAGAGAAGGAGGGGGCGCAAAAATCCAAATCCCCTGCCTCTGGTGGGGACTCTGATTTTTCAAATTACCTCTCTCCCTGCAGCCAGTGGAGTCGGCCCGTCTCTCCTGATAATGTCAAGAGGAGGGGGCGTGACTTCCACTGCTCTTCTCCAGGGACCGCTGGGGAGTCTGGTAGAAGAGCAGAGGAAGTCACGCCCCCTCCTCCTGACATCATCAGGAGCGGCCAACTTCACTGACTGCAAACTCCAGATCCTGTCCAACCCCTTCCTGACCGAAGGTAAGCCTCGAGGAGGGAGGGGGGGGGGAATACACTTTAGTTTTTTTTATCGCCCTCCTCAGCCCCTGCCCCCCCATGCAGCCCTTACCCCCGCTCAGCTCCTGTCCCTTTCCTCAGCCCTGTTGTCCCTCTTCCACAGCCCCTGCCCCCCTCTGCAGCCCTTGCCCCCTTTCATTTTCTGTTCCCCTCCTCAGTCCCATACTCCCCACCACAGCCCCCATACCCTGAATACAGACCCATAACATCGCCACTACAGCCCCTCTCCCCCAATTGCAACCCATATCACCCACACCACAGCCCCTTTCCCAAATTGTAGCCATCAACATACTTCAGCCTCTATTTCCCCCATTACATTTCCTAACCCCCCAATTACAGCCCACACCCTCCACTACAACCCTTGTCCCCCTACTACATCCCCTAACTTTTCAATTACAGCCACTACAACCCACTACCAGTGCCATTCCCAAGATTAGGCTCTGGATCCACCCCTGCTCTGTATGCCTGTGTCTGTCTAACTATACACTTATGTATGTATGTCTTTGTATGCATGTGTCTGTGTGTGTGTCTGTATGACATTGTACCTGTATGTATACATTGTATGGCTGTGTGCCTGTACTTGTTTGATTGTGTGACTACATATCTCTGTGACTGAGTGCCTGGATGGTTGTGTGTTGCTATATATTGATGTCTATATCGCATGGGAAAAAGACACAAAATGCGCTGAGGGGAGAGAGCCACAGAAAGGGGCTAGGGGGGAAGAAAGAGACATGCAAAAAAGAATGGAGGGAGACATACTATGGGGCAGGGAACAGAAAGATACCCAAGGGGGGGTTATAAGAGACACATAAGAGGGTAACAAAATCAAAAGGGGGATTACAAGACACACAGGTGAAGACGCATTTTCTTTTTAAGTCAAAAATCCTTGCACCGGCCCTGGTTCCACATCTGCTATACCCACATAGTGCTACACATTCACTGTTTTATTTCAAGAGTCAGCTGCGTCCTTACTAGGAATCATATGTATTTTTCTTTTGCAAGTACCAATTAATTTTTTATTCTTTAGAGTACTATTGTTCTGACCGGGTCTCACCCTCAGAAATACCATAGCATACTTTTATAGTAAGGTTTTTCCAGTAGGCTCCCACTAGAAGCCCTTATTGACTTGTTATTCTCTAACTTTATTCTGTATTTTGATGGATAGATTGGGCACGCATTAAAAAAAACCCTGGGTATGGTCCATCTTTTTCTTTTCAAAGAGTTTAAACGAGCATGTGATACTAATTATGCTTTGAAACCTTACATGACAGAATATTTGTGAATCACTTTGGTGTTGGTTTAAAAAATGACATTATATATACACTTTATCTCATATTTTTCTTTAGGATATTGTTTCATTTTGTGGATTAGACACTATTTCTAGGTAGGACTATTGTAACAATAGTGAGGTCCTCTCAGATTTGTAGATGTAAGCCCTGGGTCTGTCATACTGGCTTAGGGTACTTTCTTTCTTAGTAGCTGATCGACTTCCTATTGCATGTATTATAGCCTGTATACAGTCATGGAAAAAAGAAAGTACACCCTCTTTAAATTCTATGGTTTTATTTATCAGGACATAATCATCTGTACAAAGTCCTTGGAGTATGCTCATTTTTGGAAATATTACATATACATATATATATATATATATATAAATAATTACACAAGATCTAGCGCACTCACATATCCACTAAACAGCAACTTCAATGTTGACAGATTTGATTAGTTTAAAAAAAAAAAAAAAACAACAAAAAACTAATCTAGGCAAAACTAATGGGGGTTTAGTTATATTATATGATCATACCTTGCATAAGCCTGCCACAATGTCAATGTACCCCATCTTTGGCAGATCCTACTCTAACAGCCTAATGTCTGCTGTTATGAGATTAACCTACTTACTTGGGGGGAAAAAAAAATCCATCTGGGGCAAAATAGGGGCCTGGGATGAGGCACCTGTGACAGGGAGGGCTGCAAATCCAAGGAGTATGCTAGACTCCCAAATATATATATATGAAACCAGGGGGCTGCACTCACCTGAACATGCATTAAAAGGTGGGCTGCTGTGGGGCAATTTATACAATACACAAGATCCAGTGCACTCACCTATCCACTAAACAGCAAATGCAATGTGTGTGTATATATATATATATATATATATATATATATATACACACATACACATACATATACACACACACACACACACACAAAAAGGAGTATACTCCTGATTTTGTTTGCAAAGTGTATGTGGTGTAAATAATACTGCTTTATTTGTTCACTGCTTTCACAATACCAATCAAAATTTCAGTCAGTTATCAGGACTTTTATCAAGACCTTGTGCAGTGTTTCACAATATCAGTTAATGTTTCAGTTCGTCTTGATAAAAGTCCTGATAATAGACTGAAACATTGAACAAATAAAGCAGTATTATTTACACCACTTACAAGTCCTCAGAGTGCATTCCTGCTTGGATATTATTTGATGGGCTCGAGTTCTTTGAGCACCGTGGCAGAAACAAAACTGAAGACAGCCTGTACGAGAGCGTAGAGTTTGTATTTTCTACACACACACACACACACACACACATGTAAATTCCTCTTTCTAGTGGATGTTTGCTCCTAGGGGGTGGCCACTTGTGATTTCTTAGGATGGAAGTACTGCATATACAACCAAAAACCATGTTCATGGTGCTGTCTTTTGTGTCTCAACTAAGGACATTTTAGTTGCTTAAGCCTGATTTATTGACCTGACTAGCTGGATATGTAACACAATTACAGTCAGAGATCTAACTTAATTACAAGTAAAACAAAAGAACAAAGGAAACCATTCCAGAACACAATCATTTAAAAGTGCTAAACGATATGCATGCATTTTTGCACTGTTGTAAACAATGGTTGTAATTAGATCAAGAGAGGAACAAACAATGACTATGTAGTAGGTTTCTAGGTGACTAACAGATAAAATTCCACAGAATAGACTTGTTTCAAAGCTAATAATTAGCATAATTTACACATGCCCAAACGCATGTCCACAGAGTAGCTGAAAAGAAACAAAATGTAAATATTCAAGCCAATACAGCATGCTTGGTGTGTCATAAAAGAGATTTACTAGCGCAATAATGCCAACTAGCATCCAAACGCTGGGGCGCATTCCAAAGTTCCTTAATAACATTGCATTGCATAGCCTCATTGGAATATGTTGGAAAATTAGGCCACCCAAAATGAAAAATAAAACTATCAATTGAGCTACTTTATCTATTGCTTTGCTTGTGTTTGAAAGAAATGTTACACCCCCTCCCCCGCAAAAAAAATCCAGCATGTGTTAAGATAAGGTAATTTGGGCAACTTTATTGTAAAGTTTTATTAACCACAGGTGTGTGCAAATAGTGCTCGGTCACACCCTTATGTAAGATCAAAGGCTCCATCTATCTCCTGTCTCCTGTTTAGGTATTAAGGGAACTGAAACAATGGAGATCCCACCCAGGCTCCTCTGTGTCTGGGAGATAACTACATCAAGTAATCTGATATAATCGACCTCCAGACAACAAGGCGGCTTAACAGAATATCCCTAAAGCACATACATAAACATCAGAAAACATGTGTGATATCCCCAGATAGCTCGATTATGAGTGCCCTAACTGGCAAAATATCACTGTGATCCGTCACAGGGGTCCGAGTAATTTTAGTTTCAAGTTTCAGTTCCACATAGCGCAATGCTGGGTTTTTGAATATAAAATAATGATGGCCAATAGATTCTGTAGCACTGTATAACAGATAAAATAAGCAAGTATTTACAACAGGACAAGATGGATGTACAAGAATGGATGGTGAAGGTGCTTTGTGTACACTCGTTTATCATTGGGACAAAACAATTGTATTTTGTACCTAATTTTTTTAAATGAGTATTTTATTTAAACTTTACACGGTAACTTTCTCAGCGTAGACTAATGTAAAATTCTTCACAGGACTTTGCTAAAATTTCTATGGATGACTGGTGACCATGACAATTTTCCAACCAGGGCCTCGATTTAATAAGCTTTCCAAATTATTCAAAACTGTTAGAAAAACTTTCCAAATTATTTATCTGCAACAATTACCGTAGATGATAAAAGTGATGTTTGTAGATAGATAATATTTATCAAACATTATTAAATAATTTTGAAAGCTTATCAAACCTGGGGCTTTTTCCGGTCAACTTAAAAATCAGTGTGGTGAGCTCATGCCCAGCCACAAAGTTTAACCAGGAGTTTCACACCATTTTTTTTAATATAACACATTCTACTTTCCATAAAACTGGGCTCTATCTAGAGTGCAATGTGTCAATAACTAGTTTTTAATGTGAATAATCTAGAACGCATTGTTAAGTAACTAGGCTACTCAAACAATATGGCCGACATGAGCAAGACTGGTTGGGTTCTCCAGCCATGGCTCCGCCCACGACACCCCACTCAGCCAATCAGCGAGTAAGAAGGGCAGTCTCCGGCCAATCACGACACCGGATCCCTTGTGACGGGCGGGGCTTCGCGTGTGTCGTATTTCAAAGAAGCGGCTATATAGCCAACGGTAGGCGCTTTTGAAAGAAGCCATTTTGTATTTTTTTTTTGCGGCTCGCGTTGGAGGATCCTGCGTTAAAGCGGACGGCCAGAAGGGGGGTGGCCGCGCTGGAGGAGATTATCCCTGGCAGCTGTTAAGTTTTGATCTCGTTAACCGCTTGTGTCCCAGCATGTCTTCCCCGGACGAGGTGGCCCAGAGGCGCCGTGTGGCCATGGAGGGAGAGAAAGTGGTGTACTCCCGCTCGCAGCTGCTCTTCTCGGCCACCAAGCCGCTGGAGGACGCGTTCGAGGTGTTCGTGCCGGAGTCCAAGCAGTTCATGAACTCAGACACGGAGCTCTGGAACTTCCTGTGCAGCCTGAAGAACGACTTCTCGCCGGTCGTGCTCCGCAGCAAGGATGTGTACGGGTACTCGTCCAGCCGCTCGGTGGTGCCGGACCCCAGCCTCCTCTCCCGCGGGAAATCAAAGGACAAGCCGGCCGCCCAGCCCAAGAAACCGCCTGTCAAGAGGAAGAGGAAAGGGGCAAGGCTGACCCTGCGGAAACGCCGGCGGGGTAGGACCGGCGGCAGCGAGGAGTCCGGCACCAGTAGCACAAGCGGAGGCAGCAGCGTGTGCAGCAGCCCAACTCCCTCGGAGCTCCCCGGGCTCCTGGGCATGAACAAATCCCTGGAGGACATGTGGAAAGCGGCTACCCAGAAACAGACGGTTTTCCCATCCATTCGGGTCGCCGATGTCTCCTGTGAGGCCAAAGTAGCCGCTGCTCGAGTCCGGGCGCAGAAGATCCTGAGGGTCAACTTGCAGCCGGTGGTGGTGATCAAACGCTCGCCCATCCTGTCCCCGTCCTGAAGAGACCTCTCGGTCTCTCTGCCGGGTGCTCAGCTCTGCTCCCTATGCACTTTCATTGCTTGTCTCCGCATGGAGGCTTTGTGGACATCACCTACTTGGAGGTTGCGGCTCCGGTATTCAGTCAACCTGTTTACATGTCTTTCCATTGACTTTTCATGTGATCACGGCACTTTACTGTAAAGATTTACTACTTACACAAAGAAGGAAAAAAAAAAAGGGATCTTCCTCTTGAGGACTTGTAGTTTTATTTTAATTGAGATCTTCGCCGGGATCCCAAGTTCCCCTCTACCTGTCTATACATAGCGGTTGGATGTAGTTGCAATATTGGTTGAGAACCCGTTATTGTGTCTAGCGGCCGGTTACCGCGCGACAAAAAGTGCGAGGAATTCTGCGAACCTCAGAGTTCTACTTCCCTTCCTGTCTGGAACGATGTGAAACAAGTACTTCGTACAGGGAATTGTGTGGATAGCTAATCCGTTTAAAGCAACTTGCATCAATCTAGATCAATTGCTAATGTGTTTCTCTTATAGCATGGGAAGGATTTACCTACTTTACCCTGAGAGAGGCGCTCTGGTAGCAATGGGGTTTACAATGTGATCCTTTCTAGAAAGCTTGATAATCTACCACCTATTTGCGTTTCCAGGTTTAACGGAGCTGGCAACTAGTCTGCTTATGCAAAGGAACTTAAATTCAGAAGTTCCTCTAAACTAAAGCATTGTGGCCACTGTGTTTTTTTTTTCTCTCCAATCAGTAACTACCTCAAAAATCTGGAGTCGCAGAAAATACTATTCCAAAGACTAGTTTGTTTTGTGATCTGTATCATTTCACTTTAACATGTACCATTACAATATGCCAAGAGGTTTAAAAGACTTGATGTACGAATGAGGCTGTGACAGTCTAAATGCAAGTTTATGCAATTGTTTTTTTAATTTTTTTTTCTCTTAGTTATTGTTACTTGAATTGGCAAGGTTATAACAAGTATAGGGGAACTTGTTACTTTGATAAGCTTGTGGTTTTTTTTTTTTTTTTCTTTGTAATACCTGTTTTATACCAAGCCAAGTGAACAATATATTTCTTTTCAGTGTTTAATAAATAGACTTTACTGAAAGTATATTTTCAGTCGAAATGTCCTTGTCGGTTTATTTTTATTTTTTTTAAATGCAAATTTTTGTAATGTCTGTATATAGCATTTTCACAGGAAGGATATTTATTGTGGACATGGAACAGAACAAGCATTTTTTTAGTTTAGTTTTTTTTTATAGAAGGATGCTGTTACAGGTCAGACATTTTATGGTCTGAATGTGCCTTTACGTCTACATGTCAGTTTTCACTGTGGATGACATGAGCTTTTAACATGTGGTAGATATTGGTGCTCCATGCTTTTTGGGAGTCTGTTTTGAGGTTTAATATGCAACATATATCTACATGTGTATAATCTACATCTTCGCATATGTTGCTACTTTTTATTTAAACTGCTGGGATAATCTTGTATCTCTAAATTTACCTGTGTTAGTAAAATGCACCCTTTCCAATAGTGCCTGGAGTACTGTTTCCACTTCAGAATCTGCAATATTTTACAAAAACCTCTGTCCATTTCCCTAATCAATGATAAATGTAATTAAATAAACCATCCAACTCACATGTTAACTGGGTGTCATATAATAAATGTAAAAATTGGGTGCTACGGTGGTGATAAGCGAATGTTATCACTTTTTAAGTATCTGTATAGTTTTGTTAAAAAAAAAAAAATGTTTTTCCTGAAATGTACACTGCTAGAACTGTTAAGAGCAAAGATGATGGCCAGTTTCAGGATGTCGAAAGGTCACTTCATACTAGAGATCATTTGTATATCATTTAGTAAGTTATGGAGTATAAAATAAAACTTCCTTCCAGTAAGTTTTCTGTGTATTTATTTATTTATCTCAATACAATTCCCCCCTCCACTGCAAAAAATATAATTGTGCAGGATTCTAGGGCAACAGAGTTTTAAATTGCTTCATTTTATTTGCCACGTAGAGTGGCTTTTAAGCAACTCATCTAAACTGTTTTAAAGTGTTACTCCAAACATCATAACTGCCTTCTGCTGTAGTGGTTATGACGCAAGGAGTACCCTTTTGTCACTCTTGTTAATGGGGCAAATTGGTTGGCCCTCTTACCTATATCCACAGCAGGGGCAGAGTCTCTACTGATGCAGGTGGCGGGCTTAAACCCGTCTGCCATCCCATTGGTCATTCATGGGCTGAGAACATCAGTTAGCTGCTTTTAACCAATGAATAACACTCTCTTTGCACAGAAGTTACATTAGACAGCTGGCTAATGATTGTTGGGAGTGGAGTTGCACTTCTGGCAACATTATTAAATATCTCTGTCAAGAGTTTCATAATAAAACACGACCCAGATTCCAAGCACCATGGCCACTTCAAAACACATGTAGTCATGTGGTTTTAAGTGGAAACATTATTTTAAAACGTAGATAGAATAGAAATGTCATGTGTGGTGGTAACTAACTACACATTCTATCTTGAACTGTAATTCCTGGGTGGGGGTGTTATATATGTAAGTTCATCTCCATATTTTGTGCTCCTTTAAATATCTGAGAGAACCAATGATGAGGGTGTGTATAGCTTCATTTGAGAGAAAAATAGGAATGAGGTTACTAAGGAAAGGTAAATGATCCATTAATTTTACTAGATTGCCACTAGTTTCATTAAAAATTGTCTTGGCTGAATTTACGGTGTGCTGAATTCCACATCATTAAACCATACTGGGTAGGAGTTTATGCAATATGTTTAGCATTTGTACAAAACAATATTCTGAGGTCAAGGCCTTGCTGAGATTTTGAGAACCTGGATTGAAGAGAACTAGCTTCAGAGTTGGTTTGAGAGGGTGGAAGGGAGCTTTACCTCTTTAATGACAGCTGCTGTTAAGGGCGTATTGACCATTACTACTGCAAATATGTTTGTGTATGATCTCATGTGCTGTAACTTTATAGATCTTGTGACTGGAGTGCCTAGGCTATTTCTTGATGCTGGTGATGACTCACACAAATTGCCATGTGAAGGTATCCCAAATGAAAGCTTATTGGGAAGCTGCCTCCAGTGAGCAAATGCCTTTCCATAGAAGGGCCTCCCATTTCAACTCGTCACAGCCTGTACTGTGATGTTACTGTAAGCTTCAGCACTAAGTGATGTAATATATCCAGAAATTTTGAAGAAGCAATGGGACCAAAAGTGTTTTTGGAAGAAAAAATAAAAATGCAGAGCAAGTATGTTTACAAGTTGAATGTCATTTTGATACATTGGGAACATAAAATGCAGTGTTTATTAAAGTATTGTGGTTGAACTAGAAGTACTGCTTATTCATTAGACAAAGTTTTTTTTTTTTTTTTTTTTTATTATATACTCTTCCCTCACTTCCTGTATAGTGATGTGCCGAACGGTTCGCCGCGACTCATCATTGAGTAAACCTTCACCCTGTACCTCAGTCAGCAGACACATTCCAGCCAATCAGCAGCAGACCCTCCCTCCCAGACCCTCTCACCTCCTGGACAGCTCACTAAGAATGCAGCTTCATAATGAATGTAAAATGTATGCTGTCAAGGAGGTGGGAGGGTCTGCTGCTGATTGGCTGGAATGTGTCTGCTGACTGTGAGGTACAGGGTCAAAGTTTACTCAATGATGAGTTTGCGGCGAACCGTTCGGGACATCACTATTCCTGTATCTTGAATTGTTTGTAAGTTCCAATTACTTTCTAGTTGAGTGGAGTTAAACATGAGGTAGACAATAGCCCAGTGCACCTGCCTTGCAAAGACTTCTCCTTGAGCTGCATTAGGAAGTCTGTGATTGGACAGCCATAGAAAGTCTGGGCATGGGAATAAGGGGAGAGGTTGCAAATACTTCAGAGAAGAGAACTGTCACTTTTACAAACATTTGCATTTTTTATATATAATATAAAATGCTTTAATTATTTTATAATATATTATAAATATATAGGAAATTAATGTTGACAGATTTTATTTGTATTTTTTTACACCTAATCTACCCCAAAATGATGGGGGTTTAGTAACATTATATGATCATACATTGCATAAGCCTGCCACAACGTCAATGTGCCCCATTTTTGGCAGGTCATATAAATAAAATGTTTATAGGAGAGAGCTCAATGCATCATCAGTTGAATCTGTTCAACCCTAGGGTTGACTCAGCCCTTCATCCTCCCGAGGTAGATAAAATGAGTACCATTAAATTGGGGGTAACAGTAACAACCCCTGGAAGTTGGGCTAAGGTAACATCCCCAGGATGTACGTGAAAATCAGAGTAATCTGAATGTGCCTTTCCTGGTACTTTGATATATATTCTCTCTCTGTCATTCAAAAAGTGATCATGTCTCTTTTAGTAAGTGCTACAGCAGCAGCTTCAAACTCTTACACCCCAGTCTACATCACCAGGCTATGGGGTCACAGGAAATCATCAGCTCCGTTACACACATACATACCTCAATCAGAGTAAAGCTCCTTACAAGCTTTCGGTACTCATGCTGTAAAAACTTGCAATAAAGTGTTTTCTTTGAATCATCTTTTGCCCTCTTTTATTACAGGCCTTTGCGTACGTTGGTTTCAGCACACCTCAACCAACCTTGCTTCCCCTTCTACATTCCATTACGTATTAGAAAATTCCAAGCACAAGGTGGAAGGCCATTTGGCCTGAATTTGTAGGAGGAGTTATGACCCTATTTAAACCCTTTCCCTCCTACTTACCTTTGTCTTACAAGCCGTTTGTCCCCACCCACCTACATATTTACAATTTACCTTTCTGGGCCCTCTTTTATTACAAGCCTACTCGTATGTTGTTTTTTGTTTTCTTTCACAATTCAACCAACCTTGCTTCCCCTTCTACATTCCATTATGTATTAGAAAATTCCGAGCACAAATATATATATATATATATTTTCTCTCTCCTCTCTTTTCTTTCTCTCTCTCTATATGAGTCTTTCAAAAAGTAAAACTTATCACGATGATATCAGTAAAAGTGTAGTTTTTGTTTTTAAAAAAGTGCAAAAAACAAAAACGCTAACTTTGGACAGCGTTTGTGACTAAGTGGCTACTACAAAAGACAGGAAATACCCCATTTTGAATACCCTTGGTTGTCTACATTTGAAAATGGTATGCCATGATGAGGTTAATTCACATTCCTGGGCTACCATATGGTCTCAAAAGGCAACATAGACCCAGCAAACCAATCTGGCAAACTGAATTGGGCAAGCCCTATATTGACCCTGTAACCTTCAAAACACCATAAAACCTGTAAATGGGGGAATATTGTTATACCTGGGAGACTTCGCTCAACACAAATATGAGTGTTTTAAAAAGTAAAACTCATCACGACGATGAAATCACCAGTAAAAGTGCAGTTTTTGTGTAAAAAAAATTAAAAAAACAAAAATGAACGCTAACTTTGGCAAGCGCTTGTTGCTAAATGGCTACTACAAAAGACTGTACATACCCCATTTTGAATATCCTGGGTTGTCTACTTTTTGAAATGGTATGTCAGGGTGGGGTTAATTTTAATTTCTTGGCTGCCATACTGTCTCAAATGCAACATAGGCCCAGCAAACCAATCTGGCAAATTTCAATGTGCAAACATGGAAAAGTCCTACATTTGACTCCTGTAAGTTTGCAAAAACCCATAAAACCTGTACATTGGGGGTACTGTTGTACTCAGGAGATGTTGCTGAACATATATTATGGTGTTCTTTGTCAGTAACACATAACAGGAACTGAGAACCCATGTCTAAAGTACAATGTGAGAGAAAAATAACACAAAAAAATGACTACCCAAAAGTTTGACAAAGACTAATGGTAGAATTAGTGCATGGAAAGTTTTAAAATATCACCATCTGAAATACTCTATTTAAAAAAAAAAAATAATAATAAAAAAAAAAATATATATATATATATATATAGTTTGATAGGGCTAAATTAAATTGGCCCCCAAACTTGGGAAAACTGGAATGCGCACCCCACAAATAAGGTCTTTTAGCCCCCATAGAACCCAACACATCTATATACATGGGTGGTATCACTGTACTCATGAGATGTTGCTGAACACATAATGGGGTGTTCTTTGGCAGTAACCCTTAAAGTTCTCAGTAAATCTATTCTTAATTTAATGTGTCAAAAAAAATCACCTATTATTCTTTTTTTTTTTTAAACTTGGCATAGATTGGTGGTTAAATGGTTGCATAAAAAGCGTCAATATACCCCAAGTTTAATACCTAAGGTTGTCTTCTTTTATAAAATATTTTTACAGATTTTAGGGGTCAAAGTTAGAAAAAGTATGTTTTTTAAAATGTTTGCATCATATTTTATAATTTGTTTTATAGTAAATTATATGATATGATGAAAATAATGGTATCTTTAGAAAGACCATTTAATGGCGAGGAAAAACGGTATATAATATGTGTGGGTACAGTAAATGAGGAGGAAAATTACAGCTAAACACAAACACCACAGAAATGTAAAAACAGCCCTGGTCCTTAACAGTAAGAAAATTTAAAAACGATCTGGTCACTAAGGGGTTAATAGACATAGCACACATATTTAAGCCCCCAACAGCCTCATTTACATACAATAGGGTGCATAGAGTACTATAGAACAGGAAAGGGTGAGGTCAGACAATAGCAAGGGCTAATGAGAGATTGAGGAGGGACAGGGCAGCTAGTTTAAACTGGTCTGGCAGTGCCCCCGGAACAACAACCTGCTGGGGCAACAATAGCACAGGAGAGAGGGGAAGGGGAATAGTAACAGACAAGCAATACATTCAACATACCCTGCACCAATAATGGGCATAGGGTGACCAAAACACAAAATGAATCTGGGGATCCACACAATGTCTGTCTTCCATCTCCAGTGACTGTGAGTACAGTCACAAGCAATATAATAGAATTAGTGATTTTATAGATATAAAGTAGCTGTAGTGGAATGAAACTGCACCAGACCACCTACCAAATCTTAAAGGACCACTATAGGCACCCAGACTAATTCAGCTCAATGAAGTGGTATGGGTGCCAGGTCCCTCTAGTTTTAACCCTGCAGCTGAAAACATAGTAGTTTCAGAGAAACTGCTATGTTTACACTGCAGGGTTAATGCAGTCTCTAGTGGCTGTCTCACTGACAGCCACTAGAGGCCGCTTCTGCGATTCTCACTGTGAAAATCACACTGAGAAGACATTGACATCCATAGGAAAACATTGAGTAATGCTTTCCTATGCGTGTTTTTAATGCGTGCTCGGCTCTGGCCGTGCATGCGCATTCGGATCCAACGTCGGAGGGGGAGGAGGGGTCACCAGTGCCGAAGGAGCCCCATGCTGGATGAAGGTAAGTGGCTGAAGGAATTTTAACCCCTTCAGCCCAGCGGGAGGGGGGCCATGAGGGTGGGGGGGACCTAAGGATTATATAGTGTCAGGAAAAAGTTTGGTTTTCTGGCACTATAGTGGTCCTTTAAATACAGTGGTGTCAAATATATACGTTCATATCCACCCATTTTAAGACCACATGTAGGTCACCTGAAACATGGAGACATATTATAAAATAAAGTATGTAATGAGAAATTATTATAACAATCTGAAATTAGTCTAGACTTTTTAAAATCCCAGTACACCTATACAGACTTTGTCTAAAATTATAGTCATGCAGAACTTACCTTAGAGTTCATAACTTAGGACCATTCTCTGGTCCCTTTTGCACATGTTTTATCTGCAAATATATCATCATTAATAAAAATGTCAGCATGCCAAAGCAGATGTGGACATAATACAAGTTATAGGCACGGCGGTCATATGAAATACCAACCAAAAACAAAGTAACAATTACATAGCCTAATCTTTAAAACCCAATTAATGTAGTTTAAGGGCATGTTACTATAAGTGTTATAGCTGCGGATCTCTAGTATAACCCGAGTCCTAGAAAAAGTGGGACATCAGGACAGAGCGATTTTAGCCCAATCTACGGACTTTTTTTTCCTAAATTGAGAGACTTGGTAGGTATGTAATGGGCCTGCAGTCAAGGGCATAAAACAGTTTACAGGAACAAAAAGTGGTGGCCTCTCTATCAGCTGTCAGCTACTGCCAAAGGTCCCCGATTTACTTGAATACCAAAATGATTGAGATGCCAGTCGCTAAAATCTTTGAAGTGACGGGAATACCAATTCACCATAGTGTTGGACAGGCCTGGAATATGTGCCATGTGGGGCTGATGAAAGACAGAATGGGAGGCATCTGAACCTCTGAGATTGCCGACATAACCCAAAGAATAGTTAGGAATCTCTATGATGTTTTTTGAGTTTTTTGAGTTTCC